GAGTGAGGGCGAAGTGAGCGCCGCTTGGGCCTGGATCATGTCCTAGAAGGAGCGGCTTCCGGTGCCACGATGCCTGAGAGTTCGAGCAGCTGCCACCTGTGCCACATCCACGACCACGCGCCGGGGTCGACGCTGCTCCGCACCCACCCTCTGCGCGCCTCGCAGTCGCGCTCCCGCAACCCGAGCACATCCACTACGACCCTCGGCCGCGGCAACGGCCACCACTCGCGGGACCACGCGCACGCCCACCACTCGCGCGACCACGCCCATGTCCACCACTCGCGCGAGCACAGCCGGGAGGTGGACGCCAAGCATGCCAAGGTGGCGAGCGCCCTGGCGAGGCTGAGCGAGCGCTCGCACTCGCTGCCCGGCAGCCGCAACAGCACGCTCTCGCGCGAGCCCGAGGTCTCCATCCTGCCCGACGGCAACGTGCACGCCCTCGCGCACCACCGCAGCCACAGCGGCAGCGATGGCCACAATTCGACCAGATCGCGGGCGGAGTACAACAACGGCGTGCTGGCGGCCCTGCTGGAAACGCGGGGCTCCGGCAGCCTCCCCCCCCACCACCCCCACCGGGAGCCTGACCTCCTGACCGCCCTCCCCCGCACACATAATGGCAGCCGGTGAGTAGCGTCGCGGAGATTAAAGGTCAGCGCTCTTGCGCTGCTTTGTGAAAGCTCCGTTGAGAAACAGATGAGTGTTGCCTTAAATATTCCCCTTTCTTGTCAGTCCTCAAGGAAATCTGACCAATGACGTAAATCAGAGAAGGCGAACACTCAAACGCAATCACTCACACTAATACCTCCTTTCCTCCCTGGCCTCCTTCAGGACGAGTACCTTGTCTCGTCACGACCTTCATCCTCATGGGAGTAACCTGACGTTGGCGCAGGACACCGAACAGGACTACTACATGCATGTACACCGAGCCAGGTACAAGGACGAGGCGAGGAAGCAGAGGTTCAACCTACAGACCTTCATGCTCATTGGCTGCTACACGATGCTGGTAAGGGCATTCCTGGCGAACTGGTATGAATCTTAAGTGATGCAGAAGATAGATAGATAGAAGAGAAAGAGAGAGAGAGAGAGAGAGAGAGAAAGGGATAGAGAGAGAGAGAGGGAGAGAGAGAGAGAAGAGAGAGAGAGAGAGAGAGAAGAGAGAGAGAAGAGAGAGAGAGAGAAAGAGAAGAGAGAGAGAGAGAGAGAGAAAGAGAAGAGAGAGAGAGAGAAGAGAGATAGAAGAGAGAGAGAAGAGAGAGAGAAGAGAGAGAGAGAGAGAGAGAGAGAGAGATTCAAGAGGGGAAGATCCCTAATGAATGAGGAAGGGGCTGAGGAATATAAGGAGAGAGAGAGGGGGGCGGTATATAAAGGAAAAATAAAAGGAGGGAAAGAAAGAGGGAGGGCCATTGAACATGTGTGTGCATGTCTGTATATATGCCAAATCATGTATGATGCATGAGCGAGTGAGAGTATGCATTATTTTGTATAACGTACATTATCTATTGGTATCTGAACTGTGCATTTGTGTGTGTTTCAGTTCGTAGTGGCCATCATCGTCGGGGTAGTGTTGTGCCAGCAGAACGGCTGGCTCGGCTTCGGACGCAGCAGTGACGACCAGATTTCCCGTAATTCTACGAGTAACCAGGACTCCAGCACATCCTCCATGCGAGACCGTAACAGCCCCACCCGAGGAGGGGGCGGGAGCCGAAGGAATCGCCCAGGTCCTACCATAGACTATGATTATCCTTTAGACCAACCACCCCGAATCAACTCGGCCGGGTTCTTCCCGGGATTTAATGACCCTTCTGCCACGGTGCCGGACGGGCCCAAGGGTGGCGTTGATCCCCTCCGCACGGTCAACTTCAGGGTCCCCGGGGAGCAGGGCAATGCAGGCAACGGTGGCAGCAACCTACGAAATCGTGCAGGGACGGGGGTTGGTGGAAATGGTGGAGGGCAAGGTGCAGGTGCCAGTGGGAACAGGGCACGAGGAGTGAATGGGGATTTTCCAGGAGGAGGCGATGGTACTTTAGGGAGTAATGGTAACTTGGGAGGGAACGGCAACCTGGGAAGTAATGGTAATTTACCAGGTGGAGTCAACGGCAATGGTAGGAGAATACCCAATGGTAATAGAGGAAGAGCAGCCAATGGAAACAGCGGAGTGAATCCTCCAACGGGCAGTGGGCCAGGGTCAAACAATGCAGGCAGTGGGAAAAGCATCAATTCAGGAGGCCGAAATCCAAACTCAGGTACTTTTGGAGGAGAGAACGGCAATGGAGGGCAGTCACTCAACAGGAATCCCTTCGGCACTTTCGGCACAAACAGAAACGGGGAATTTGGAATTGGCGGAGGCGCTTCTTCGGATGTCAGCGGTAGCAATGCTTTTCCAGGTTTGTCGCAAAATGGCCGCGGAAACTTCCAGAACCAACCAAATGCTGCTAGTGGCAGTGGTAATAACCAAAGAAATCTGGGAACAGGAGCTGGTCTCTTGAATGACCCCAGTGCCAATCCTTCAGGAGGTCAGAACACGGGATTGGGTAATGCCAATGGGCCGGGAAGCAATTTTGGCTCCAACTCTGGCGCTGGAGGAAATGCCAACAGTCCAAATGGTGGCTTCAATTCAGGAAGTGGTATTGGCAACCAAGCAGGAGGAGGATTTGGCAACCAAGGTGGAGGTGGACTTGGCAACCAAGCAAGAAGTGGACTTGGAAACCAAGCAGGAGGTGGATTTGGCAACCAAGCAGGAAGTGGACTTGGCAACCAAGCAGGAGGTGGATTTGGCAACCAAGCAGGAGGTGGACTTGGCAACCAAGCAGGAGGTGGACTTGGCAACCAAGCAGGAGGTGGATTTGGCAACCAAGCAGGAGGTGGATTTGGCAACCAAGCAGGAGGTGGATTTGGCAACCAAGCAGGAGGTGGATTTGACAACCAAGCAGGAGGTGGATTTGGCAACCAAGCAGGAGGTGGATTTGACAACCAAGCAGGAGGTGGATTTGGCAACCAAGCAGTAAGTGGACTTGGCAACCAAGCAGGAAGTGGATTTGGCAACCAAGCAGGAGGTGGATTTGGCAACCAAGCAGGAGGTGGACTTGGAAACCAAGCAGATGGTGGACTTGGCAACCAAGGTGGAGGTGGACTTGGCAACCAAGGTGGAGGTGGACTTGGCAACCAAGGTGGAGGTGGACTTGGCAACCAAGCAGGAGGTGGATTTGGCAACCAAGGTGGAGGTGGACTTGGCAACCAAGCAGGAGGTGGATTTGGCAACCAAGCAGGAGGTGGATTTGGCAACCAAGCAGGAGGCGGACTTGGCAACCAAGCAGGTGGTGGACTTGGCAACCAAGGTGGAGGTGGACTTGGAAACCAAGCAGGAAGTGGATTTGGCAACCAAGCAGGAGGTGGATTTGGCAACCAAGGTGGAGGTGGACTTGGCAACCAAGCAGGAGGCAGACTTGGCAACCAAGCAGGTGGTGGACTTGGCAACCAAGGTGGAGGTGGACTTGGAAACCAAGCAGGAGGCGGACTTGGCAACCAAGCAGGTGGTGGAAGCAGCAATGAACCTGGAGGTGGAAGTGGTAATCTAGCTGGGGAAGGATTCGGCAGTCAACCTGGAGGAGGATTCGTCAACCAACCTGGAAGTGGAATAGGTGGTAACATACCTGGAGGTGCAGTTGGGAATCAACAAGGAGTTGGTAGTCAAACAGGTAGTGGATTTGGTAGTCCATCTGTAATTGGACTTGGCAATCAGCCTGGCAGTGGAGTTGGCCGCTTAGGAAATAACAACAATTTCAATTCCGGGTTAGACGGCAATCTCAATTCTCCTCTGGGCAGCCAGAACGTCGGAGGAAATCGCGGGAACATCCCTCGCTTCAATATCGGAATCAACAATCCCACAACAGGATTCGGGAACACCAGAACCAATGTGGGGAATGCACAGGGGACAAATGCTAATGCAAATGCACAAGGAAACTTCCATGGGGGCTCTGGCACAGGGACGAACAGTGGTGGGAATTTTAACACTGATGGGCCAGGATTTAACACTGGAACAGCAGCCACAGGGAGTCAGAGCAGAGGTCAAGGGGGAGGAAATTTCGATCGCTCGGCAGGTAATGGGGGGGCTTTGAATGAAGGTGCGGGTGCGGGGGAGGGTAATGGTGGAGGAAGCACTTTTGGTCCCACGGGTGGGAGGGCAAATTCAAACACTGGTTTAGGTTCGGGCAGTAACATTGGCAGCGGCCATAGAGGCCCGAGTACATTTAGTAATAGTGGTGGGATTCCAAATTTTGGAACAGGCTTTGGGGCAACAGGTGGTACTAATGGTAATGTAGGCTCAGGGGGGAGAGGAAATGGTGGAAATATAAATGCAGGCACAGGTGGTAGGGCTGGAATTGGGATCCACGATGCTGGTACAGGTGGCAGAGCCAGGATTGGAATTCATGGTACAGGTGGTAGAGGAAACACTGCAGGTGGAAATGGCAATTTAGGCGCAGGTGGTGTAGGGAATGCCGCAGGTGGAGGCCTAAATGCAGGTACAGGAGCAAGAGGAATTGGAACAGGAACAAGAGGAGGTGGGGCTGGAATTCACGACATGGGTTCAGGTAACATCGGAGCTAGAAATAGAAATGGAGGTGTAGGTGATGGAGAAAACCTTAGCATTGGAAATGTCGGTTCAGGCACAGGCACTAGAGGCACTAACCTGAACTCAGGCGGTGGAAACTTTGGTGGAAATCTGAATACAGGAACTGGTGGATCAGGCAATGGTGGAAGTGGTGGTTTCAGCCAAGGTGGTGCCACAGGTAATAGAGGACTTGGGGGTTTCAGTTCAGGTGTAAGTAGGACAGGAAATAGTGACAGTGGGGGATTTGATGCAGGTGCAAGTGGAGCAGGAAATGGTGGAAGTAGTAGTTTCAATGCAGGCAGTGGTGGAGCAGGAAATATCAGAGGGAGTAGTTTTAACACTGGAGGAGTCCCAAATTCAGCAGTTGGAATCAACAATGCTGATACAGGAGGAATAAATGGAGGGGTGAACCATAATAATGGGCGTTCAAATACAAGAGCTGCCAACACAGGTACTGGCAGTCAAACTCCAAGTGGAGGTAGGAATTCTAATCTGGCTTCTGGCTCTGGAGTCCCAAGCCCTGGCAGTCAGGGGAATGGCAATGGGAATGGCAATCAGCACCAAGGGATAAGAAACCTTGGAAATGGTAACAGAAGGATGAGGAATGACAATAGCAATGTGCCACTAGACACCATTGGGACCGACACACAGATTGTACTCACAGGAGGTACAAATCGAAATGGAAGAGTCAATCCCACCCAGAATGCTCAGGCAGGAACTACTGGAGGAGTCAGTGCGCCGGGACTGCAAAGCAATAGTGGTTCAGTAGAACCAAAACCTGTGGGTCACAATTGGAGTAATCAGTCAAAAGGGAGAGCAGGAGGCACGAGCCACGATGCCGGAAAGGGGATCCACCACAGCAGCACAGGTCGGGCAGGCACTGCGGCGGGAAGCTCTCAGGAGGGCCGGCAGTATGTGAAATCACCGCCTGGTTCTGCCCTCAAGAAACCTGACGAATTCTCCACGCACCCCCCTGCGGAAGGCGGAGTTACTCCCCTTAAAGTGATGCGCGGGTTCTCGGTGCAGCGCGGGGAGGTGGTGGCTCTGAGCACCGTCAAGGGCGGCGACAAGGACCTCTCTGTTCTTCAGCCTGACCACGACGTCATCTTCCACATCACTCCGAGCGCCCCAGACGCAGGGATATCGCTTGTCGGACGCCCTGGCACCAAAGCCCCGGGTGCGACGGGGACGGCAACAGCAACCGCGACGGCGAAGGCATCGGCAACCCCCACCCGGAGAACAGTGCCCATGGGAAGGGCGAGGCAGAACACCCCAGGAAGAACGCGCGAGAGGGTGAAGATAAGACCTCACACGGGTGACCGTTCGCCTGTAGTCCGCCGATGGGAGCACATGGACCACGAAGGGACCTTATCCAGAGGCCTCGTCAGGAAGGACGGGTCTTTTGCCTTCACCAACTGTCGTCCCTCTGAGGTGTGCGATCTAGCCGATGGAGGGTGAGGGGGCCGCCCCTGGGTCACTTTACGGTCAGTAGAGAGTAAATTGCAGCCCCAAGTCTTAGCTACACACTAATTCGCCTCGACGCCGAAGAATTCAACTTGGTGCGACCGGGTGCTCCTCACGCATGGCGTAACGATAAAAGCGGAACACGTCGCCTCTGGTGCTACGAGAACTGACAGTGTCTCCGTTAGCTGGCAAAATCTGTCATATCACGACTTAGTCGTAGCTATCCGAGTGAGTGCTAAATTCCAGATCATGTTCACTAGGTTAGGATAAAAATACTAAAAAAAAAGGAATACTAATTAAATAACAATGCAGACATCAAGAAATACGCCCCGAGAGAATGATCGCCTCCGAATTATGAGTGTAAATCTCAGAAAATAAATAAAAGATACTTATCTCTAAGCAGACTACCTCCTCTTAACTCCCTCACATTCTGACGTCACGAGATACGTCAACATTACGTGAGGAAGAAAAAGGTTCAGGAGACCGGATCAACGTGCCAACGGAAGCGTTCCATTCAACGTAGTCGAGGAGTTGGGTCTTCCCGAAGTATTATTAGTGTATAAGATCACGTCTTCACACGTAATGTCAATAGTCACTTTTGTTCCATATATATTTATTCATTTCAGTATATCAGTTTCTTTCTGACTTTCTTCTTAGAAACTATGTCTGTTAGTTTACGCAGTGTGCGTATGTGCACATGCGATCGTGTGTTGACTGTGTGCGTGACTGTTGGTGTGCGCGCGCGTGTGTGTATATATATAAAAAAAGCATTTAAGACTTTCCAGTCTAATATTTTTATTGTTTATAGTTATTAATAAAGTGTGATTGTAATAATCTATGCATTATTATCAGTTTTAGAAACATTGTTGTAATATATTGTTTTATTCCCCGTAACAATTTATATGTAACTTATATTAACAACCATTTTTTTTTTGTGTGTGTAAATTTTGTGTATATTCTGTAAAACGTGGAAGGGTGCGCCCCCCCCCCCTTGGCCGTGCTGAGCGCGTGTGATCATGACTCGTTGTAATAAACTAGTCGATTGTAAGAAATCTTTTTATTAACCCTTTTATGTGAATCTTTTTCTTTATGTCGATTGAATTTGGTTTAGGTTAGTTTATATTTGCTTGATTTGCTAGTTTAGGAATCATGCCTTAAGTAGTTAATTTAGTCGAGATAAGTCTAGTTTGATTAACCAATCTATAATTAATTCAATTTTGTTCATATTAGTTGTCTAACTTCGTTTAATTAACCAATTCATCTTCTGCAGTTGCGTATGAAGAAATCGATGACTGCCATGTGAGGATATTACAAAGTACTTGAATTTCTCTCTCTCTCTCTCTCTCTCTCTCTCTCCCTCTCCCTCTCCCTCTCCCTCTCCCTCTCCCTCTCCCTCTCCCTCTCCCTCTCCCTCTCTCTGCTCTCTC